CCCAGTCCTTCTGACTATAAAGAACAGGACTGGGTGGTCAGATGCCCCACAGTGTTACTTTGACCTGATTCACAGCAATCAGTATGTTGGGTCACCCAGTGCACTCTCTGAAAGCAAAATGCCAAAGTCAAGAGCTAGCTGCTCCTATGCGGAGCAAATCTTTCAACTGAAATGCTTCAGTCCAAGTCTAGTGGTCTCAAGCACAGTCCTAACTCTTGGGAAGTGTCCTAACACAAAGCGCCCCAAGCAGCAGAGCCCAGCAAAAACAAAGTCCAGCACTCCTCCACTTTCAGGCACGATTTCTTTCCCATGCTCCATGAAAAGGTGCACGGCAATTAACTTCCACGAGCTAAGCAAGCCCCCAGAGGATTTGAGGCCATCTGAACCCAACACCTGCAGCTCCAATTACCTCTTGCAGACCATGTGACACTGCATCCTGCCTCAGGCCTGAAGCACCAGCCCTCATCAGGACAAGCTAACCACAAACTAACTTGACAAGAAAGGACTGTGCAGACTAAACACTCTACCACCATCGGCCTGGGGGTGGGGGAGCTCATATCGTAATTATCACTTTTTCCACTAAAAAGAAGCCAGAGACCACAACTATTTTCCTTTTTTGTGTGTATGTGAACAGGTGCAAAAGTCAGAATGGATGGTAGCACAAGAGAACTACAAGAGCATTCTTCAAGTTTATACTAGCCTATCTTTTTCAGGACGTTATATCTGAATGTAGTATTAGCCAATTGAAGGATTAATTCAGAGCAGCTGACAAGAATAAATTGCCAAGGCCATTAAAGTGTGTCATAGTCAGGACAATGCAAACATCTGTATTTTTAAAGAAATATGAAAGATTTCAAGACTGCACCAGAACTTAAATCTTTTTCTGCCAATTAGTGCTTGCTCAGAGTGCTAGAAACATGACACCAAACTTAAGGTTGCAAAACTAACCAAGCATGTCACAGAATATGGAAACAGCTCTTCATACATAATGCACAATTTGGTATTACATACTGAGTTTCATGCATCCCAAAGGAATGACAGGCCTTTAATTGCTCAGTGAAGATAAACCAAACAAAACCTTTGTAGAAAGTCTAGTTTTTTTAAAAAAAAAAGGCCAGCGTGGCAGTTAAGAGACCTACACCCTGTTATTTCCCCACCCACCGTTCCCCACGCACCCATGAAATATTAATTGAAAACTTTCCATTTCAAAGTACAATTAAAAATTCTAAAATATTTTAGTGGGAACTTAAAGCATTTATCAAAATTGGATAGGAGTCAAAGAATACACATATAAACAAGATTCAAAAAAACTCAAAGGCCTTTTATTCTTGATTATCTGAAAGCTTTGGAGGGGTATGTAGAGCACAAATAACTTTCTTGGCTCAGAAACTGTGCAGTGTTTAAGGACTACTGAGTTAGTGTGGCGAATATATTTTAAAGGTCCACACAATCAGAATGTCGGTTTAAATAAGCTTTACCAATGGTAGTAAAGTACTTCTAGTACCAGGTTAATGGGATGGTAGTACAACACAAGTCATCTGAACCAACAAATCTCATTTCTGAAGAGGGTAGAGTTTTGATACTGCTGAAATCATTCCATTGTTCAAATATGATAAGGAATGCTCTTAGGTGCTTCTGTGGAAAAAAAAAATACAATCCATTCATGCAGCAGTTTCCATGAACACAATAAGTATCCAAAAAGAAACAAAACAAAAGCCCCAAACAAAAAAAGCATAGATGTTACAGCCAGCCTATTATGCCGCCCACCTGCAAGAAAGCACATAGGAACAAGACAGGTTAGATTGTGTGAACAAGGAAACAGCTGTGTGAATGTTTGAATGTCTGAATGCTTAATGATCTTTCTTTGCAGGTCTGGAAGGCATTTGCCAATGCATGAAAATACAATTTTAGTTTTATCTTACTCAGTTATGGTGAATTAAACAGCATTTTCAGGCTCATTAGCTCCTAACATACACAAATCAATTTGAAGTTTTATGGGGGTTACTTTTTGAAGAGTAAGATGATCAGTTTCAATTTTTGATGATCTTGCACATTTTGTGACTATTAAAAATGATATATTCTATACCCAGAGACCTTACAACATGCATAAGAGAGAGAAGATCAACACAGATGAAAAGGTCAGAGATTAACAAATAGGCAGTGGTAATTATGCGAGGAAAAATCAAAGAACAGGCAGCTGAGAAAAACTATTTTAATTAAAATGAAAAGATGAGTGAAGAACTCTCTAGGAAAAGTCTTGAAAAGGGGAAAAGGTGGCTTCACTGTGGAGATACTTAGTTCCAAATGAAGGAAATAACTTCAACAAAATAGGACTGGGGAAAAGGAGAGTAATCACAGATGAGTTTATGTACAGTGGTGAAAATAAAGGAGAAGAAACAGAATAGTACAGAGATTCAGAAAAAAGGAGCAGAAGATTAACACTGGTGTAGATTGTAACTGGAAGCCAGTACATCACCTGTGAACTGGCCCTCTAACAATGCCCAGGCTAAATTAGTTTCTTTATGCCTTTCCATTATTAAGCTATCATAGTTGTTCTTGGTTAAACCTTTTAGAAAGATACATTTATGATCTCCCACAGAATACCTCCGGGATATTCTATGTTTTAAGAATGCATTTCCCTATTTCCTCTTCCTCTCGAGCATCCCTGTTGGTACAGAGAAATTAAAATGATGTTTAGGACTGCCAAAGCAACTTACTCAAGATCACAGATGAAATTTCTGCGAACTCAACTAAAGTTTGCCAGGACATTGCCATATCATTTACCTTTATGATCATTCCAGTGGTTGATACCAATGAGTCTAATCACTTGCCAGTTTGGGCAGCATTGACCCTCTGCTCACTTCTAGGTTCAGAGCCTGCCAGCATGGCATACTAGCCTTCTATTCAAATAACCCAGCCTATGCAGCTCTTGCAGTGTCACTCAGTGCCTGTTTATTTCATGCTATACAGAGCTTCACTGTCCAAGATCAGTTCAACAACAGGCTCTCAGCTTTCACTGCAAGAACTCCACTTCCTCAAATCTGGGAATTGGGTGTATAAACATGAAATAGATAAATAAATAATACATTCTCCACTTCCTCCCATCACCTCAAAGCCACACTCCTGAGGCATTCATTATTGAAGACTGCGGATTTGTATCATTGTCTCCAGTTCTCCATACGTATTTTTGTAGTAGAATTTTCACCTGGTTGGAATGTCTGAAAAAATTCAGCTGAATGCTACTTCATATTTCCTGCTCCTGGCTGTTACCTGTCATGGGAGTACTGCCCTCTGAGGACCTCAAGTAAACCTCTTACGAGTTCCTTGGAAGAAGAGCAGGAGGCAAACAAGCAGCATGCTCAGGAACCAGAATAAGAGAACTGTCATTCCATGGACACACAAGAACATAAGAAGAGCCATGCTGGATCAAACTAGGGACCATCTAGCCCAGCAATCTGTTCACACACTGGCCCACAGGAAACCCACAAGCAGGACATGAGTGCAGCAACACACCCTCCTGTCCATGTTCCCCAGCAACTAGTGTAGTATAGGCATAGTACCTCTGATACTGGAGGTAGCATATAGCCATCAAGACTTGTGGGCAGTGACAGGCCACATGAATGTGTTCAATCCCCTTTAAGTTGACCAGAATTTCATAGTTTAACTATGCACTATATGAAGAATTTCTTCCTTTTATCTCTCTTGAATCTCCCACCAATCATCTTCATGGGACAATTCTGGTTCCTGGTGTTGTATGAGAAAGGGAGAAAAACATCTATCTACTTTTTCTACAGCATGCATATTTTGTGCCCCCTTCTCTTATCTCTCATTATTTTTTCTAAGCTAAACTATCCCAGATGTTTTGACTTTTCCTCATAAGGGGACTGTTCCAGCCCCTTTTCTATACTTTTTCCAGCTCTACAATATCCTTTTTAGGTATGGTGAACAAAATTGTACACAATATTCTATGTGCAGCCACACCAGAGATTTCTGTAATGCTAGTTTGATACTCACAATTTTTATTTTCAGTTCCTTTACTAATTATTTCTAACATCGAGTTTGTCTTTTTCACAACAGTTCTGGACTGGGTCAATATATTCATTGAGCTGTCCACCAAAAAAGTTGTGGGGGGCAGGGTTTGTCCTAACATGCATCACTTTACAGTTGCTTACACTGAATTACAGTTGCCATTTTGATGACCATTGTCCCTGTCTGAAAAGATCCGTTTGAAGTTCTTCACAACCCTGTTTGTTTTCACCCTCTCAAATAGTTTGGTTCATTGGTATGTGTTACACTATCTAATAAGTTTAGTATCTAACACCGTAAAATTTACAAAAGGGGAAGAATACTGTAGTCCATTTATGTATAAACCCTACTTTTATAATCAACATTATATTAGGCATAAAAAATTAAGCAAGCTTACTTCCTTCCACTTTCTTATGGATTACGACATCCCAGATAAACATAAATTAACCCAAAAGTATTCTAAACCCAAGTCCTGTACAGAACAGAAGATTCACATCAACTTCAGTGAGCCTATTTCCAAGAAACCTGTGCATCTATAACAGAGACGTTGAATTCCACACTTAGCATGGGACTAGTTTTAAAAGCATGGGCCAAGAGCTTGAAAATCACTAGGTTAGCTAAAAGAGCAGACAACATTGCTTTGCCTCTGAACCAGTTTCTAACAACAGCTAGGAAACACTGTAATGAATAAACCCAGCAGCAAAATTTATGCACCAAATCCGACATGTTGGTTTGGTCTAGGAAGAAGTTAAGTTTGCACTACAGATAGAATCCCATTTAAAATACATACACACCTCGCAGTCTCTGTTTAGATGGAACAACACTGGCATCCAGTGGCCACTGCAATTATTCAGACAAAACTAACATATGTGCATCAAAACATGCAACATATTGATAACAGGTAACAATACTGGGTCATAGCAAAGGACACAACCAATTTTTGTATTTCTTTTGCTAAGTAAGATGCAGCTTACCTGGTAAAGCAGTGATGAAATCCCTTTGCAACATGGGCTTTAAGTAAGAATTAATATGTCCATGCTGATAGTGACACATTCGTGAAATAAGGTGTTCCACAAATTCAACCTGATCTGATTCAGACCACTGGTCAAAATATTTAATACACAAGTCTTTTTCCTTTTCGTAGTTTCCTTCAGATGGTCGTTTCCTTGAGACTATCACAGATGAAGTTCCATTGCTTATCTGTTGTTTTTTCAGGAACACAAAATTAAATATCAGCATATCAAACTTTTAATTTTAAAACATTAGAGAAATTTCTAAGAACATTATGTTGATAATCACAATAAATTATGCTGATAATCACCCTAACTCTAATCACCTTATTCTGGAATAGAGTTTTCCCAGTAAACATCAATTTGTATACCAATTGGCACATTCTTCCTACATTTAATTTCCATTTGGTATTCTTAACATTTGAATTACATCCAAACCTGGCATTGTGGGTTGGTCACCCTTTACTTCTTTTTTTCCCCACTCACGGAACAAACTGCTGCACTTTATTTTAATTAACAGTTTTAA